CCATGCGTGAGCGTTTATGACGATTACAGTTTAACTAATCCCTCTGGGGGTCGCTGTGCACAGGTCGACCGAGAAGAAACTTCTCAGCCACTGTCTCCTTCTCCACTTCTTCTCACACGCCGGGGTCTCAGAGGATCAGGGTCTGCAGGACTGATGAGGGCCTTGGCCCCCCAAGTGCAGGCAGGAAGCTTGGCATGAGATGGCCAGGTTTACCAAACATTAGAAAGAGGAATGAGTGCTGCAACATACTTGGACACCTGCTCTGAGTGAGAAAAGCTGAATACGAAAGGCCACCTCTAATGTGAGTGCACTGACAGGGCTTCTGGAAGATGCAAACCCAGACAGGAAGCAGGTCAGTGACTGGCAAAGGCTGCCTGCTAAAGAGCACTGGGAAGGTTTTAGAACAACTCTGTTAATGGACGACGCCAATGCATGTGCACCTGAAAACGACAATTTTATGTTAAGTGCCTTTGAACTCAATTTTTTAAAAAAGGCTTCAAAACATATGCGTAGTCTTTTCTGCAGGAAAGTCTCTCCAACACCCTCTGAGGCGATGTGGAAAGTCCTGCCGGATCCTGCGCAAATGCAGACCGCTTTTGGAGCGGGTGGAGCCGTGATCACGTTGAAGAACTCTGCCTCTCAGGGATGGTCGTCAGGCTTAAGCCGGCCCCATGCCCCAAGTTCTCAGTGTGTGTTCTTGGGGATCAGCAGCACTGCGATGAAGCCAAGGCTGTGGATGTCCCCCCACATGGGCACCCCGCACATAGACATCAAAGTGCCAAAAAAACTCAACAAGAGGCAGCTGGTCACAGAGGAGAACCTGAAACACTACTGCGAAGATCAAAGAATACTGCCTTCAGTATGGATTGTGTCTTAACATCAAGAAAACAAAAATCTGGTGAGCTCTGGTGGCCTAGTGGCAAGAAGCTGCACTGCAATCCCAGAGGTGCGGGGTTCAAATCCACCAGAGATGCTCTGCTGAAGAAGGGGGAACAATCGCCTCCTGTACCAGTCAGATCCAATTTGACAGTACACACATAAGAAAAAAAAATTAAAAAAAAGAAAGAAAACAAAAATCTGGTGCAACCTCTGTGGAAGGCGGTGTGGCTCTTTCTCAAAAAGTTGCAAAAAGAAATACCATTTGACCCAACAATACCACTACTGTGAATATACCCCAAAGAGACCATAACTGCCTCCCAAGCAGATATATGCACACCCGTGTTTATTGCAGCTTTGTTCACAATAGCAAGGAGTTGGAAACAACCCAGGTGCCCATCAACAAACAAATGGAGAAGCTGTGGTATATTCGCACAATGGAATACTATGCTGCATTGAAAAACAAGGAACTCATGCAATATTATTCAAAATGGGTGAGCCTGGAGGACATTGTGCTGAGTGAAGTATCTCAGATGCAAAAGGACAAAGACTGCATGGTGCCACTGCTGTAAAAAAGGACTAACCTCGGGGTTGGGGCGAGACTGAG